TTCTGTGTTGGTGTTGTGTACTCATTTTTCAAGCTCGCCCGGTGTGGATATGCACTCAGAGTAACATCGCAAACATATTAAATTCACCTGAGTACACAACACCAACACAGAAAAAATTCATATTACTAGAACACATTGGTATTGAAGGAACTAGATACTGTTCCGAAATATCACTTACTCGAACTGTCCTGACCGCGTAGCTCAGTTGGAAGAGCATTGGGCTAGTATTCCAAAGGTCGTAGGTTCGAATCCCACCGTGGCCGGGCATATTTTTCAAGCTCGCCCGGTGTGGATATGCACTCAGAGTAACATCGCAAACATAATATTTCTTTTAATTAAATTTGGTCTGCAGTTCGAAGTCGACTATTTTGCGAGCTGCGAGTTGCAAGTCGCTAGCTACGCTTTGAATGAGGCTTTGAAAGTATATTAATATGGACGACATGGAAGGCGATGTCGAAGGGTTTTTTATTTCATAAATATTAATGACCTTTGAAGTTAAGTTCTCTGTAATTAAATTCGTTTCAACACGTTTTCCGTGCACTTCAGTCGCATCGTACCGAAGAGTATTTCTTCGGTTTCCTGAGCACTATAGAGTGGAAGTAATAGAGTACGTGTGCACTATGCTAATCCGATCCGAATTCGATCGGATTCGTTCGGATTTCGGAACCAAAATATTCAAATCGGATCGGATTGATAAAGTTGTTTCGTGGTCGGATCGGACTTCGATATCCGAAATAAAATGAATTAATTATCCACGCATTATCGCAAGAATTAATTATCCATGCATTTGTCAAAGCATTATCGCGGTTGTCGCTGCATTATTCGTTTGATACTTCAATTGGACGTCACTTTGTCCGCTTCTTGACATGTATTTCTTGCTTTTATATTCATTTGGTTGAATATTTCAACTTGAATGAGAAATTTATTTTATTAAAGATTTCTTCGGATCGGATCGGAATTCTTTATCGAAACTCGGATCGGATTAGACAATTTCGGATCGGATTTTAAACATTAAGCAATTGTCGGATTATAAACGTCCAATCCGATCCGATGCACACCTCTAGGAACTAATGACTTTGACACTAAAGAAAATGCTACGATACGGTCGAGGTGAAAATAGGCCTTTACTTGTTTGTTTACTTTGTTAGATCCATCGGCATGTTCAAGAATTAAAATAATTATATTGAAAATTAAAGTGTAAGTTTATATTTGCCGTTTCTGTGTTTAAATCTAGTAGTTATCCAGACTATTTTGTGCTTTCTAATCTTGAAATGGTTGTTTAATTTTATTATAGTAAGTATGATCAGACACCGACTCAGTTTGTTTATATATACTGAACGCTCGGAACCCTAAACTCAAGTCCTTTTGATCGTTAGTACAACTGAAGTTAAAATAATTCAATCAAGCATATACATAAACTTTACTTAAACACGGGAAAAACCCATCAGTATACATCAAAACTATTGCTACTGTATTTACAAGTTTGTAAGTATAAAAATAAATGCAATGAATGAGAAAGGAGAGAAGAGATAAATATAAACCAAATTTTCTTTCAAAAGCTGAAAATTGGCGCCAAATTGAGACAGCTAAAATCCCATCCGCCAGGATGCCGTACAGTTTTCAATTTGATTTTTTAGTGTAAACCATAAGTGTAAACACCTGGTCGGTGCTTCAAAGCTAGGTTAGTGTTAACCCTGGATTAAAATTAAACCCGATATTATTGGAAATTAACAATATACTCGCAGCTCGCACTTTAGATAATCTCCTGCAGTTCTACTATAATTACTGCAGTCATAAGTCATACCCTCCTGGATGTAATATTTGAAATCCGACTATGAGGACTGGACTAGATTTCAAGTCCACGCAATTTGATCACGTCCGAGGCGAAGCAGAGGACTGGATCAAAATGCGAGGACTTGAAATCTAGTCCAGTCCGAATTGGAGGATTTGAAATGACATCTCATGCGAATAAATCACTACTTAGTTCATTTTGATCCAGTCCTAGGACTGAATTAATTTTGATCCAGTCCTTGGACTGGATCAATATACTTCACCAGGTATCCAGTATTATCATGTGAGCAAAATAAAGCAATACAGTTGGTTAATTTACTTATGAATTATTAATGAGTTTGAGATAGAAATATCCGACCGGACACCTAATATTTTTATTTGGGTTCAGGCCTTCTTTTCAGGTTAGCAATGGTGAAATATATGGTTTAATAGCACGAACGTTGAGAATCTGGCAATAATTTCCAGATTTTTCATGCTCGCTTGCAAATGCTAGAAAAATTGGGTTTGAAATTTAAACTTTTTGAGGAAGAATTTTTCAACCATGCCTGTTCATCGACGTTGGACTGTGAAGTTCTTTCGTATCATTCCAAATCAATATATTTATCACTTAATTACTGAGACCGAGGGAAACAGTGTGTTTTGTGGCCCCGAGACAACGGCAACAACGGCGGTCAAGGCCGTTACAAAACACACTGCTTTCCCGAGGTCTCGGTAAATAAGTGTTTTGTTATATATATAGTATATAAGTGTCAAAGTATGAATAACTCACCGGTTATTGGAGTGAACTTAATTTGAAACTGGAACTGGATAAATGGAACGCCGTAAATGTTTAATAAAAAGTTTAAAAAATGAACTTCATGGTTGACACGCATGCGTTTTGCACCCATTTTATTATTGACTGGTCAATAAATGTTTGATTGCGCACCGGTTGCCGAACGTCTTGACGTTTTGTGGACCGGCACGTGATACGGTTTTGACCAATCGGCAAACAGAAAAATTGAACTTTGACACTAACTATATATCAACACAGTATAAACAGCAGATATCGATCATCGCTTGTTCTTACCTCTGCTATCATTCTTCGGGTCTATAAGTATGGGGAATTCCAAACTTATTTGAAGTTTAGCTCAGCCAATGAATGTGAGGCTTATAAAGTATCAAACAGTAACCGATTAATATATACCTAAGATATAAAAACTCCATGACGCTCGGGGGAGGATTTCCCAGGGGCCTTGCTAAAAATGAATATGCATGGCTATTACTGTCGAATGATCTCCCAGATACTGGAATGTACCATCTTTAATCAGACCCTAGATTTCAATGTATTCAATTTCAGGAATTGAATGCGGATCATAATTTTTATTTAAACACTCAAGATTTAAGGTCGCTGATGACACGTATCCGGATTCATTTTTATCCGCAAATATTTCATTCCTGATAAACGTTCCATCCACACGTATCCGACGAAAACTCTGAACCCGCAAACGTTTGAAAACGCTCTCCAGAGCGATCGCAGGCCCGTAGGTTCAATTCCTACCAGAGGACCTTGTGCTGCATTTTTCGCAGTCGTTCCTGGTTAGGTCTTAAAATGTATATATTCTCACTTGGATTACAAACCCTAACATCCTAATATTAATTCCACCAAGTGAAGTGCAAGAATCTGAGTTATTCATATATATATATATAACCTGTATCGGTTTTAAAATGCCCGTTAATTGCCAAAACAACGCAAATAATGGCCAAATACAAGTGTGGCAAATCAGGCAGTTTTGAGCATTTGGATTGGGAAACCTGGTAGGCCTTTACGCTGCACTTTGCTTTCATTTAGCGTGTGACGTCGTACTTACCAAATGATAGCCCACAATTGGCCAAACCTGCCAAAGCCAGCCGAGCAAAGGGCCTTGGTCTAGGCTGTCAAAACCTGTGTTTATTTATCCGTCTCATAATTTAATACGAGTTTTCAGTTTTTTATCATCACTACTGGAAGCCATCAATTAATGAACATGATGCATGTAAAGTTTCTGAAACGTGCATGTAAAGTTTTTTATTTGGGTTCAGGCCAGACGATCAGAGAACAAAACGATCAGAGAACGTTTCAGAAACTTTATTTTGAATCCTGGTCGCGCATCTAGCATTTTAATGAGGCCAAAAAAAAAATATGTGGGTTTCCGGTTTCTTATAAAAACTTAGGTAGGGTAGGTCGGTTTTAACTTTTTTTTAAAACTTTTTTTAATTTTCCGAACAAGCTGACGCCATTTTGTTTAGTCAGTGCTTCCACTTCCAAAAATAAATTTCCCTAATATTGCCTCAAATTTCAATTTTCTACAAACTTTTTCCTCTAAGTGGAAACACTTACAAGCATGATCCAATAAAAAAGTTTAGGATCGGGATTTCGACGTCCAAAAGCTAGGTAGGGTCGGGAAACCGGAAACCCCCATATTTTTTTTTGGCCTGATACATGTATTTCAATCCAGGTGACGAAAGCAAGATATTTCCACAAGCCAACGTATGAGACATTACGAAGTTCATTACAAGCCATGAAACAACATTGTGAAGAACATGATGTGAAGAAGTTAGCCATGCCTCGGATAGGATGTGGTTTAGATAGACTGGATTGGAGTAAAGTAAGAGAAATGATCAAACGAATATTTCAAGAAACGAACATCGAGCTGATCATATATACTCTCTGATAAATAATACATAATTCACGAGGTGAAAGTCGAACTATAATAATACAGCCGTCTGTTGACCAAACTGCCCAACGCATGTTCATATCTGTTGTCATTAATTAAATAAATTATTTTTGATTTTTAATTCTATAGGATTATACGGAATGTTTTTCAATATCTTATTATTTTCGTAACGGGCAGTTTAAATGTCCCTCTTCAGACTATGAAGTACAAAAAATGACTGTTACAGGTAACTCCCGAAACGTTGCGAAAATAATAAAATATTGAGGAAAAACCTTCCGTATAATCCTATAAAGTAATCCATACTATGAACGGAGGTGAGAGTTTCGGAAAGAAAAATTAAAATTGTTGTCATTAAATTCTTATTTTCAAGTAATTCGCATGTCTGTATTTAATGTAAGCATGACGTTATAATGAATCAATCCCCTTGACCGTTGATCCAGTACAATGCAACGGTAGAATCTAACCAACAATGTACTGAAGTTACTTTCTCGTTGCCAATCGCCATCTCCACATTTGTTACCAGGTTTGCAGCCACATGTCCTGACACGAGCTCCAACCGTGGGATCGTGAGGTTCCTCTTCGCGATGAAGATTTAGAGCACACAAGACCTTGAGTTGTGCCATTCTCTTGTTCGATCACTGCGGGCACGGCTGCATCGACTCCATCCTTGCTCGCGTCACCAAAGCCGTGAAGACTAACCGACACGATGGATTGTTGGTTGGGAGCCAATGTCCTCGGTACTGTGTAGCGTTCTGGGAACTGTTCGTACCACTCCTTCCATCGCTTCGTTAAGGTTTCAGGGAATTCCCCATCCCAAACAAGGTTTGCTTCGCACATTTCCCGATAGAGGAGCTTCCCAGGCAATGTCGTTGACAAGACCAAACCGAGGGGGTCGTAAACTTTGGCCAGCTGAGAAAATGCGCCTCTCTTTGTACTAACTGCCTCGTCTTTGTACTCGCTGGCTCTTCTTTGTACTAGCTGGCTCTTCTTTGTACTCGCTGGTTCTTCTTTGTTTGTCGTCACACGTAGCGTACCTTGCGACTTGTCGCACGAAAGTCCAAGTAGCTTTGTCGCGGATGGCTGGTTCCCAGCTGTTTTGCGAACGTAGTTTCTTCTCCGTTGTCGTTGGTCGCTGGCTGGTGCGACCTATTTTCTTCTCCTTCGAGCTCTGAAATGTTGTAATGCCATTTGAGCAGCTTGAACGTTGCATCTTCGAAAACTTCGATTGCCTTGATTTCCTTCTCACTCACTACTTGCGCGTTCACACCCCCCGTCATCAGATCGTCCACGTAAAGACCATCTCGAACAACCTCGTTCCTAGGCTCTTATTTCGAATTTCCTTCACTTACGTTTCCTCCCATGACTTTAAATGCTCGTTGAGAACGCCGCCAAGTAGAAATGGGGAACAAGTTTAAAAACCAAACATGAATCTGTAAATTGTGACTATCTCACTTCCTGGTGCTCTCCAATGAAATCTCAACGCATCTCATTCTTTTTTTTATCCGTAGTAGCAGAAACGCTTTCTCGAGGTCGCCTGTAAGGAGTATTGGCTAGAATCGCGAACGTATATTTACACCAAGTTGGTGCCCACAAAGGCAAGGTACTTGACACCAAAGCTGTGTAAAATGTGTTAGTTTACACTCATAATAAAGACTTACACGGCTACACCAAGTTGGTGTCTACACAGAGGCAGGCAAGATGCTTTAAACCAAAGCAGTAACAGAAACTGGTGTCCACACAGCTGCGAAAATTTACACTGATTATATATATATATATATATATATATATATATATATATATATATATATATATATATATATATATATATATATATATATATATATATATATATATATATATATATATATATATATATATATATATATATATATATATATAGTTTTCGTTTTACCTCAAAAAACCACAACAGTCTGTTTCATCCGTATAGGAAT